CATGACAGAGAAATGATGAATGTCCCTATCAAAGTGGCAGTCATCATTTGGCTGTCATTGTGTTGATACTGGCTCCGCCACTTGTGTCTGATTGACTGTCTGCGGGCTGTTGTGTCTGGGGGGCCGTATTGGTCACTGGACAGTTAAATAGCCCAGCCATGCTTTGTAGCTTAATTTACTTTGGATCTCTCATCTGCTTTGGTGTCTCTTTCTCTTCCCTCTTTGTGTGAGGTGAGCGCTATGCCCTGTAGACTATAAACATGCTCCAGTGACAGGCCTGCCGCCACATGGGACCTCCCACATTCAGATGGCACTGAGAAGATGAGCTAGAGAGAGCTGAGTGAAATGCCAAGGCTCTGCGGCTCTCTCACAGATACACACCAACACACTGCCTCATCAATCAGGCGGCTAAAAAGGCCAGCGAGCAAAAGGCCACCCTCGCTTCCGTTATGATGCCTTTCATGAGTTACGATCCGATCGTGTTATTGCATCTTTTAAAACGGTGCATTAGCCGACCCACGCCAAAGCGGGTGAGCCGTAAGAAGCGCCGTGTCTTCGTTTGGGTTTCTAATGGAGGGTTGTGTTGTTAATTGCTGATTGTTATGAAAATCTGTTGTGAGGTGAAAGTTTAATGAGGCTCAGGTTTTTACTGCCACTGTGCAACTGATTTTTAATAGGCAGCGCTGGTAGACTTCCACACATGCACAACACACAACACACACATATACACAGGCACACAGGCACTCATTTGCAACCTGCTGGCCTATAAACAAGCTCGCTCCTAAACAATTATGCAGATTGAGTTGAGGAACTTTCCCAGAAATATATGCGATGCCTCAGGTGCACTGCATGGCTGAACACATTGGTTGTTCTCATTGGTTGAATAGATTTGGATTTTTTCCAGCATATTTTTATAAGACTATATGTGCTCATGGTGTTTCTGCAGGAAATTAAATTTAGTCTAATGAAATATGATGAGAAATTTGTACAGGGAAAGGAAGTTATTCCAGCATGGCTTTATACAGTGTGGTACGGTGAATGTCAATAACTTTTCAGCTAGAGGACCCTGCTCAAGGAATTCTGAGAGACATTCAAGGTAACATACATCTTTTGTCCAAAAGTTTGTAAACAGCTGCTCATTCAATGTCTCTTCTGAAATCAAGGCTATAAATAGGGGCTGGAGTAACAGCCTCTACATTTCCAGAAGGTTTTTACTAGATGTTGGAACATTGCTGTGATGATTGCATTCAGGCACAAGAGTGTTAGTGAGGTCAGGTACTGATGTTTAGTTCTGGATTACAAATGCCACTCCAACTTATCCCAAAGGTATTGGATGGTGCTCTATCATGCAGAGATCACACTTCCACCGCTCTGCAGCCTAATGCTGGGATTTATACCCCTGTAGATGTAGCTTGGCTTTGGATATGGTGACTTAGGCTCATGGGCAGCTGCTCCAGAATGTCCCATTCTGTAGGCAGTGATTTTCTATAGATAGTAGCTGAGATAAACTATGCTTGGTACCAACAGCAGAGGGAAATGATCATTACTGCACCTCAGCCAAACCACAAAAGACTAACCTATGTAAGTGATGCTGCCATGAAGGCTTGAAAAATATTTGTGGCATTTTCTAACAGGAAATAGATATATTTAAAGTGCATATGGGCAGTCACATCAGTTCCAATGCACCGTGGAACTTATTATTTCTAAATATATAGTGCTGCTTATTCATGCTTAGCAAAATCTGAGTCATGTGGGTATTTTGAGGGAAATTGGCATGCTTGTGAGTTTTCTATCGAGTAGCGCTTAAGAAGTGCTCAGGATAGGTGTCCAAATTTTGCTTCTTTAGCTTAGCACTGGAGCTAACATTGCTAACAAGAACAGGAACTCAATAGTCACCCAAATTTTTTCCATAAATACATCCTTAAAACTTCTCTCAATCCCCTTAAACTGCACCCAGGTCTCTACTAAACCCTTACCAAGCCATGGGCCTGCCAGCGGGCCCAAGGTTTTATTACACACTTCTATGGCCTAAGAAAAGCTTCATTAGTTTGTATTGAAGTCCCTGTAGTTAATGCATAATAAGCCTTTGTATGTAATGTATGTAAGCCTGGCATGTTAATGGGATAAGCCTGTGCAGATCTGTCGATGTGGTTTGGAGGACAGTACAACTTACTGTGAACTACAAGCACGAACTAACTTCACTTTGTAGAAGAACACTGCTGGCACCTATTTTGTTCTGCCAAATTCCACCTCCCACGTAGTTTCTGACTCCCCCTCGCATGCTCGCACATTAGGCAGACACATGCATGCTATATTACATTTGATAGTTCTGTTGTTTTTATTTCTAACCATATATCTTCAGTTTAAAAATTCAATATTAAACAGTTTAGAAAACAATTTGTAATTTATAAAAGGAAACAAAGGTATTCAATGGTGCTCCATCACTCAAGAGAATGTAGTTCCACTGCTCCACAGCCGTTATACTCTAGCCAACACTTGGCATTGGACATGGCGACTTTAGGCTCATGTACAGCTGCCTCAGAGCATCCTGTTCTATTGGCAACGCTTCTTTATGGAGATTATACATGCTCGGTGTGTGCGCAATTGAACACCTGTGCCAGCAATGGGAGTACCTTAAAGTAGCTGAAAATAGTAATTAAAAGCAGTGTCTGGATACTTACAGCGGAGACATACACTATATATAACTTTGTGTAGATTTCAATTAATGAAACAAACAACACATTTTGAGACAAAATTATTTAGGCATGTTATTGACATTCTTAACTGAAATATCTGTGTCTTGCTCTACTGGTCTCTGCTTTGTGAAGCTACTGAACAGTATGTACATTGGACTGTTTTGGCATGTAGAATGGCATACTGCATTAGAGGCCAGTCTGGAGGCATTAGTAGGTGATAGATACTTAGATAATAGCTGAGATAAACTGTGCATGGTTCTAATAGAAGTTAACAGCTCTGAGACATTTTCAGACAATAATAAAGGCATTTAACCACCAGCGGAGGGTAATGATCATTACTGATCTCTGCCATAAGCCACAAAAGACTAACCTTAGCGGGTGATGCTGCCATATGAAAGCTTTAGAAATATTTGCCGCATTTGCTAATGGGAAATGGATAATTAAAGTGCTTTGGATCTTGGAACTAAGAATCTATGTGTAGGAGTTAAACTGCTCTATTTAGGCTATCTCAGTCCCTAAGGAAATGAAGCGACAGTGTCTGTGGGCGAAAGCTTTCGCTTCCAACCTGTTACGAGCACTTCTTGAGTGCTACTCGTCAGGAAATTGGTGAGCACACCAATTTCCCCCAAAATGCCCATGTGACCCATTCCAGATTTTGCTAATCACGCATTAGAAATAAATGGTTCAACAGTGCATTGCCACTGACGTGATACCCCATATGCCTTCACTGACGTAATTAATGAAGACAGTGTATGCGGCAGGGTGCACTACAACACTTCCACAGTGCAGTCTGAGTTTGTTATGCTGACATTATTCATGTACTCCAAATGTTTCACTTAACACTGCACACACAGCTCTGTACAGTGGGCAGCAGCGCTTGTGCACAGACTTTGATTTTATCACCTTAGAAGTCTAGAGTTATATAATTACTTGTATAAATAATTACATAGTTTTATTCAATTTAAATTATGTATTGGGTTTCCATATATGACTTTTTTTCTGTTTGTTTCGATGTCAGGAAATGACAAACATGGTAGAAATGTAAGGAGTGGTTCTTCTTTCCACAAAACAAGACTATATGCATTAGGCCCAATCCCATTTCTCACCTTGCTCCTACCACTTAGCTCTTACCCCTCTGTTTTGAGCATTCATGCCTAGGGGTAAGGTGTCCTGATTTTTGTTGAGATGGAGGGGAAGGGCAAAGTGTTAGGGTTACATGGCCCTCCAAACGGAGGTTTTTCAGAGGCACACTCCAAACAGAGTGTTATGAGAAAAAAATAAAAACCAGCAAGATGGCGGTGCAAGCGACCAAGAAACCCACAGATGTGAGTATTGTCTCTATTAAAAAATGATGCTAACCATTATATTTTCTTAGTTTGATGTCATTTCAGTGTATTAAGATCATGTTCTTCACAACAGGCATAAAAAGTGGTTTGCTGATGTCTCGGTAGCTAGCTAGCTAATTTTCCTGTTCCCCCTTAAATGTTGCAACAGTCACATTTTGGCGCCTCAGGCGTCAGAACTGGTGCACCATTTAAGGTGGAACAAGAAAATTCAAACAAGAAGCAAAATGAATAGCTGACTTCAGCTTCATATCTCTGAAGAATTGGGGGGGGGTTGATAATAAATAATGGTGGCATCCCCTTCTTTGAAGGCATATAATTCCCTAAATTTAACTAAAGACCAGCAGCGAGGTTGCTGAACTTTACCGCTCCTCTGCTGTCATTGCAGTCTGGCAGGGTCACCTGTTGAAGTAATGTTCTTTTTTTATTGGAGGGTTGTCCCGTTTCATAGGGGATGATTTTAACCACTACCCTTTGTAACTCAGTTCCAAGGGGCAAGGTGACACTCAAAAACAAGAGGTAGGGGTGAAAATAAGAAATGGGACTGGGCCTAACAATAACACCTCATCAAATTTAATTCATAACCAAATATCTTCTGTTCTACTTACAAACATGAAAGTGCAGCAAATTAAAAGATGCACTTTGAAAAGAATTTGTCCAGTTATTTAGTGAGCTGTAAGTGAGAAATAATGAATATCAAATCGCAGCGTGTGTTTCCTATCACTCGCAATGTCCAAGGGTTATAAGAGAAGGGGACGTAGGTCCCACCTACCCACTGTGCTGTGAGGGCCACTGATTAATTTGTAGAGTTAAAAAGGAGTCTATTATTATTCATTCATTCATGCATTCATTCATTCATTCATTAACTTGTTTATCCTTTTATTCTTTAATTACTTTGTTCATTCATTTGTTATTAATAAATTAATTCCTTAATTAATTCATTCATTCATCCTTTCTCCAGGATTCCTGTACTATGAAGATATCTCAAAGCCAGTAACCGTAGCTGAGGCCAAAGCAGTGGGCTACATTATCGAGGAGGCTGCCAGCTGTTTCAGTTCTGGTGTCACTATCACTCTGACTGGAGGCTTTTGCAGGTAAACAATTCAAGATGACAGCCAAATGGCTCTGTTTGCAGCAATCTGTAGAGTTTGGTTTTATGTCATGGACTGTGGTAATTTCCTTATGTTTCACAATGTACATAATGTTGGACTGTTCAACGTTGTTGATATCAATAGTTAAGTCTTCAGTTTTTTTATTTGCCTTCATATTGTTCACAGCGACACCACATGCTTGGTTTGTGTTTGATACAGAACGTGGAGCTCATACAGAGTTGGAATAGATTAAGTCTAAGGCTAGAAATTTATTTTACACCAGTATGCGAATGCAGATGCTTCAAACTATGCAGACACAGTTTCACGCACTGTTGTGTCTTTCACTAAAATGTGTCATGTCGCATTGCATGCGAGCAGTTGCATCCTGAGCTTTAGGCTGTGTACACAAATACACTTTAGTGTCTGTAAAAAAGCATGTCTTGCCATTGATTTCAATGAGAGCATGGACAACATTACAGACACAGACATTACACTCCGCTGTCCATTAAAAAAAGTTCACCAGAATTGAACTTTTGATGGAGCATACTTTGACGTACTCATACATCAGCCCATAGGAGACAGGGTGGGGCAGGGCTTGAATCAGACACTCTATTTACATACGTCAGCCAATAGGAGATGGTGTGGGGCAGGGATTGAGTTAGACACTTTTTTTATACAAAATAGAGGAGACACGAATGACTGCTGTTAGCTCACATCCAGAGCTGTAAAATCCAGCTGTAAAGGTTCAGTACGACAGTAACCAGTTTGATTAAACAAACACTTTTTTGCTTCATTCTGCTAAAAAACAACAGGATTTCCACAAACAAGCTTTCATGTTTGCATAACTTTTTCCATTCAAAGCTATCTCCACCCACAAGCACAGCCACAATGAGCCAGTTATATGTATCAATACTTTTTTGACTGATATCAAAAGTCCTTGCGAATGCAGCCTCACAGAAAGTGGCACTATTATGACAGCCAAGGTGCACATACAGGAGGTCCGGGACCCTCTAATTAACCCCTTGGACACCCTAAATGTCAAAATTCTGGTGGGGTCCCTGAAAATAAACATTATGACATTATGCAGTTCATTAGGGCAAAAATAGATGCTAAAATACAGATTCAGGGAAAGGTCATAGTTTAGTCTGCTTCACTCACAAAACTGCATTTGCTGTTGTTGATATTCTTAACTAAGTAGAGATTTTAGCTCTGACCTGCCTTATGGTGTCGCTGTAGCAAATCTGTAACCATGGTTACCATGGCCGGGATACCTCTGAAAAACTTTACAGTACACCACAGTTGCAACGTGCCAGGTAGTTCACCCCATGTGAGAATCAAACTCATAACCTTTGTGATGGTAAACTGGAGCGCAAAGGGACAAACCACCTGGCAGACACTAGAGGGTGGCCTCAAGTGCAGAGCAACAGGGACTCAAGGGGAACGTTTAACTTGAGAAAAACATAGGGCTAAGTACATGGGAAAAACAACCAAACAGTCTTGAAAGAAATAAGAATATGAAAGGAAATTAAATAAACAAAGGAAGTCAGTGGTTGTGGGGGAGGATCAAACCCTTGACCTTTATATTTTTGGACCAATATACTATACTGCGCACCATCTGAGAAAGTGGGGGTGATGCCAGCTAAAGGGTTTACAAAGAATCCTCTCGAACCACTAAGAGCTTCTCAAAATAAAAACAAAATCCTCTTTACTCTTTCACTAAGAGCTCCTTGAACAAACAGAAGGGTATTTTTCTTTAGTTAATAGAAGGGGAAGGAAGGGGAGGAATATGCCAGAGTTGAAATTCCTTTCTGGTCTAATACGTTATAGTACCCCCCTAGGAACGACATTACCGAACCAGACTCCTGGTCCCATCTGAAGGCTCTAATGAGCTCTGAGTGTAAGATGTACTTGGCTGGTACCCAACACTGCTCTTCCGGCCCATACCCCTCCAAGGGTACCTGATGAGAATCCAGTTACTGCCGCACAGTATAAGCTCGAGAACCGGTGATTACTCGTGGTGGTGGAGGTGTAGGGGCAGTGTTCAGAGGGCTATGGAGGACTGGTTTCAAACATGAGACCCTCCTAATGGCCAGAGGTGGCCTAGCAGGCCTCCTGGACGTTACAGCAACATTTTTAAATCTGAAAACTTGCCCAGGAGTTGGGTGAAAAGAATGAATTTTCCGAACCGAAGACAAAAAAGGAGATGTGTAAGTTCTCAATTTGTGGAAAAGGGCACTACCAAACTGGAAAAGCACGTTTCCAAAAGAGGAATTGTTAAACCAAACATTTTGCTGTTATTGATGGGACCCCCTGAATACCAGGGGGTATTTCGCACACTGATAACAGCCAAGCCTGGTCAAACTGTCTTGCACCACTAGTGTGATTTCTCCTTTTCATAGCAGATGAACAGTTGGACGAATCTCTTGTAACAGTGGTTTACTTGCATAAACATATGTGATGAATCATCACCATTCTGATAGATCAGGTAAAGCAGCTCACACTCCTCTACTGTACACGTTTTGAACTGCTGTGGCCGTGATCCTCAATCGCTCTCCTAAATACTGAGTGTTTTAATCACCACAGTAGCGTAAGAACGCTTGCTGAGTTTGAGTAGAAGAACTGTGCATTCCTCAATATGTTGGCTGGGCTGTTCATTGTGCTGGCATACTTGTGTTGAGTATGTTTCTGACCAAACTCTTTTAGGAGTTAATTTAATAGTGATGTTCTGCTATGTTGGTCTGCCACCACAATATTTTCAACTACTGACTGCACTGCATTGTTGAGTGTTTTATGCATTAAGGTTAAGTTGGCCATCTATCCCTGCCATCCATCTCTAATAATGAGAGTGCAGCCAATTGCACTCTGGAGGACTCCTAGTAGTGACAATGTTGCCAATGCACTCAATTCAGGACCAATGTCAGAAATTAATTCAGTTAATTATTTGCTAAATTAATTATTTGAGGAATCTGCTAATGTGTATCAGCGAATGGCAGTTTGTCAGCTGAGCCGGCTCATCAAAGCCAAATGATTTGAAACGGCACTGAGGCCAGCTCTCCACAGCAGGGTTTTGAATCTAAGTAGGATCTGAGTCATATCACAGCAGTGTTTTCCCTGGATGCACCAATCACGGTTGTACGGTATGAACTTGTTAACAAAGGCCCACTCACTTCATTTTTGCGTTGATTAAATTATCTCTATGACTCATCAATGATGCAGCACAGCAATCACTAAATCGCCACTCAGCCATGATCACCACTCAGTTCTGACTGGCAAGCCTGAATCTTTAGCTCCTCTCAGAATAGATTTTCTCATTAAATGACATTAAAGTAACTGTCCATAAGCCTCATAAGAAGGCAGAGCACTGTGGGTGCTGCTAATGTGATGTGCACATGTGTGTTAACACTTGAGTTTCTGTTAATGGAAAGATGGAGTGTTTAAACCTTATATTTTTGGGAAGACTGGAATCTTGTACATTTTAATATCTCCAAAGTACTAATCCATACTACTCAATAGAAGCCAAAGAGTACTTTTTCAGACTCTTCACACCACCACCTGTTTTCACTAATGAGCCCATGCTCTTAACAAAAAAAGGGAGACTCATTAGTGAAATCAGGTGTTCTGCTGCATGACTGGAACAAATATCTATAGCAGATATCTTTAAAGGTTTTACGTATGTGCCCATATGGAAAAAACATATATTCCAAATATATTTTTTGCAATGTATGAAAATGGCCAAAATGTATTTGTTAACTATATTTTTAAAATGCACTTTAAGTGTATTTTTTCAAATATATTTATCAAATATATTTTTGCAATGTATAAAAATGGCCAAAAATGCAAAAATGTGAAATATATTTTTAAAATGCATTTATTCGTATTTGTTTGGGGGCATGTTTACCACTGTGTTTCATCACCTCTTCTTTTAACAGCACTCTGTAAGCGTTTGGGAACTGAGGAGACACTGCTGTAGTTTTGAAAGTGAAATGTTTTTCATTCTTGTTTGATATAGGATTTCAGCTGCTCAACAGTTCAGGGTCTCTTTTGTTGTATTTTTCACTTCATAATGCGCCAAATGTTTCCAGTGGGTGACAGGTCTGGACTGCAGACAGGCCAATTTAGCACCCAGACTCTTTTAATACAGAGCAGTGTTGCTGTACAGACAGAATGCGGTTTGACATTGTCTTGCTGAAATAAGCAAGACCTTCCCTGTAAAGGACATTGTCTGGATGGCAGCATATGTTGCCAAAACAATTATCTGTTGTTCAGCATTAATGGTGCCTTCACAGGTGTGCATGTCACCCATGCCATGTGCACTAATGCACCCCTATACCATCATGAATACTGGCTTTTGAACTGTGCACTGATAACAAGCTGAGTGGTCTTTAGCTCAGAGGACACAGTGTCCATGATTTCCAAAATAACATTTCATGATTTGTTGGACCACAAATCAACATTTGAGTTTTAACTTGCATTTGTGCGCACAGTGACAAATTGTTTTCACAGTGGTTTTCAGAAGTGTTTCTGAGCCCATGCAGTGATTTCCACTGCAGAATCATGTCTGTTGTTAATGCAGTGCTGCCCGAGAGCCCAAAAATCACTGCCAGCATATACTGTTTTTTTGGCTTTGTCCCTTGCATACAGAGATTTCTCCAGATTCTCTGAATCTTTAAAAGTTATTATGTACTGTAGATGATGAAATCCTCAAGTTTTTTGTGCTATTTTTATGCTGAGAAACGTTGTTCTTGAATTGTTGCACTATTTGATTGTGCAGTCTTTCACAGAGTGGTGAACGCCTCCCCATCTTCTGAAAGACTCAGACTCTCTGGGATGCTCTTTTTGTACTATTGCCAATTAACCACCAGGTGTTCTTTTAGCATTACACAACTTTACCAGCCTTTTGTTGCCCCGCCCCAACTTTTTGGGATGTGGTGTTGTCAAATTCAAAATGGGCGTATATTTAAAAAAAAACAAAACAATACAATTTGTCAGTTTCAACATTTGAT